GCGGCCGCATGTTGATTTCTTTCCTTTTTCGTTGTTTATATTCTTGGCATCCTGTTGGTGCTTGTGTCCATTTTATTTCGCTTTTATTTTTCGTAAATTCATATCTTTATCTAAATTTCTTCGTTGTTTTCTTTATTTATGATTGTTTAATATCAACAGTATCCATCAAATGGAATATCAATTAAGGAATATTGCACCACAAGGCAAAATTTTCTGGCCGTTTTGTTATTGGATAGGTTTTGATGTCAATTGTGGTTGCATATTTTCGGAATGATGAGATTCAACCTTGAATTTATTCACCGGATTTGAAATAAAAATATAATAATTACTTTGTTTAAAAATACATATGGAATATATAGATGCATTGTGATCGAATAAACTTCCAAAACCCTGCTACAATTTGTAAATGCCAGAGGAAAAGTATTGTGCTACCTTTTTTTCCCAATAAGTTTTAACAATGTGTTTTTGTATATGCATACCTTTATTCTTAATTTATGTTCATCTTGTTGGATTGAAATGCGGATTTTTCTTCATCAAAATATGAAAATTATTTCCAGCTCAAGTTCGCCTTTTCAGAACCACCTATCTTTTTTAATCATGATGCAATTTGATATTTATACCGATATTTTTATGTTATATTTTTAATAAAAATTGTTCTAAATTGATATATTGTATGGATATTTGTTATTTTCTTGTTCGTTGTATTCTATTGACGATATATCGGTCTTGCCCAGGTAGCATTGCCTTTTTTTTTCAAGTCTATTATTTTTTGTGTGCGGCCGCATGTTGATTTCTCTCCTTTTTCGTTGTTTATATTCTTGGTATCCTATTGGTGCTTATGTCCTTTTTATTTTCCATTTATTTGTTGTAAATTCACATCTTTACCAAAATTCGCCGTTATTTTCTTCATTTGTAATTGTTTAGTATCAGGCAGTGGCCATATCAATCAAGGAATATTGTACCACAAGGCAAAATTTTCTGACCTTTTTGTTATTGGATAATTTTTCATGTCAATTATGAATGCATATTTTTGAAATAATGAAAATCGACCTTGGATTTATTCATCGGAATCCAAATTTAATATAATAATGCATTTTATTTCAAAAAATATATGGAATATATAGACGTATTGTGGTAAAACAATATTCCAAAATTATATGTTGTAATTTATGAATATCCAGAGGAAAATATTGTGGTACCTTTTTTTTTCAAATATCAGCAACGAAAAAGAAAGAAATAAAATTCTTGCCATTTCTTGTCATATTATCAGGATTTGATGTCCAATTTTAATATATTTATTATTTCGAATGTCACATGTATTGAAAGGTCGATTCGAAGATTTTAATATAGCAGAATCTCTATTTGAAAAATGGAGTGTTGATCTTGGAATATTTGCAGATTGCAAATGACGTCCATTCCAAAGGATTTAAAAATCAATTTTCTAATTAAAATCCTTCATCCAACGATTATGGAAATTGATATCCTTTATTTACCCCATTGAAATAAATATCAAAATTTTATCAGAATTCCCTTTGAAATAATTTTGTATTTTGAACAGTAATTCAATAATTTCCGTTTATATTCTAATTTAAAAACAAAAATATAGAAAATTTGCCTACAATTTATCCATTGCAAATACAAAATTCTTTTGAATATAATATTGTAATAATATATATCAATATAATCAATACAATATATAAATATAAAATAT